GGACAAAAGAGAGAGGTGGCGGACGAACGGTTCTAAATAGGCAGAGGTGATGAATATATTATACTGTTTCAAAGTTTATTAGCCTCATAACATGAGTTTTGCGTTAATGATTGTGAGGGAAATGTCTCTGTTTCTTTTTGCGTTAACTCTCTTTTTGAGTTGTTTTAGAGTTTATCTCTGTTTCACATATTCTGTTTCACTAATATGTTTTCATTTTTGAGTTAAAAGGAGAATTTTGTTTATAAGTATTTATTGTTTCTTTATCATCGTCACGACATTTTGCATCACTAATTCACTTTGAACATAAATCCAACTTGCAGTTTGATTCTCAATTTCTCACTTGAAATGAGAGTGATGAATCATGGAACCAATCAAGTCAATTTTCTTTAAAATTATGGTAGAAAGAACCAAAGACGTTTACTACCAATCATGTGTCAAGAATCAGCTTTTATTGTTAGACACAAAACAGGAAAAAGACGAATCAACAAATACAGTGGCTGGTTTTACAAACCCATGTACTTATAAAACAAAATAAAACACACGTTATTATTGCGTCATGTTTTCTCCCGCACCACCAACAGTTTAATCAATGTCTAGAAGGATCAAGAACCTGACCCATGAACAAGATCACTCCACTTTTGTCTTCTCTCACCGTGAATAGAAATGGATGATCAGCTACAAAATCTGGATTACACCTAGCACACATTAACATTACAGTACCAGCAGAAACAGCTGCGGCTTCAGTTCCTTCTTCATCCACCTCAATGCAAGCTTTATGAAGAATGACTTGAACCGTACAACTTCTCACCGATGGTAGGTTAATCGACCATCTCAGTTAGACTACCTCCAGAAGTAAAAGGTAAAGTCAGCCCCATATCCTTCAAAACATCTGAAACTTCAAACTGGAAAGAGAACTTAAACTTTGGAATTTTAATGACGTCTACATTTACATCGCGTTGTGGAATACGGTTATCAAGACATCCTGGTTGGGAGCCTATTTTCTCAATCAAAGTAGGCAATCCGTCTATATCTTCAGGAAGATAAATGTGCAAGTATGAGTGTGCTGCAACGGATAGTCTCCATAGTCTCAGCAGAATCGCGTGAAAGAATCTCCTCGATGAGTCCATTGGTGTGGACTTTAGCCCATTCATGAATTACTTCAGCAGGCTTCAAAAGTAAGAAATCAACAAATTGGCCAATCACTCCACAATGGAATAAACAGAATTCACACAAGGAGGGAAATGCAACGTTTTCATAGGATCTCACATCATTGAAAACAATTTGAGTCAATCTACTTATTGCTACTCCTTCCTTTCTAATAAAAATGATGTTTTGACAATGTCACACGAGTTGAAAAAAAAAAAACTAATTAATTATATTATGTCCTTGGTGATTCTTGCAATGTTTTCTTTTTCATTAATATCGATTAGAGTGTAAATAGAAAGTTGGAGCCGTTGGCGACTGTAGCCATGACATGCTTAGCTAGTCTTACAACGACGTCGTTTTGCTTCTCAATTGATCTTCCTAACTCCGTTTTCTGTTTTGCTTCTTACTTTTCCTCGAGACGAGAGAGAGAAAGGTTTGGGACGAATGGATCTGAAAATAATATCTTTGTTTTATCATGTCACCGTCAAAAGATCTATAAATCGTGTCACCGTCAATGTATTTGTTTTAAAATATCTTTTGAAAGTGACATATTAAGAGAACAGTTTATACCACACCGTAAATATACATGAAACCACGAGTTTCTTCGAACCATTTAGAAATTAGAACCATTTGAAAAACAATTAAGAGAACAGTTTATAC